TTTTTCATAATTTTTATCAAGGAAAATGCATATCCATGAGGATAAAGGCAAAGGATATAAATTGAACTACCTTACACACTGAATTTCTTAAGATTCTCAGAAAAAATGGAAGAAATACCAATTGCAGAGAAAATTTTAAAATGCAGTTATTAAAAAATCCAGTGAAGATCAAAACACCTCATTGCACAATTACCTCCATCTCCAACACCCCTGCACTCTGAGCAAAGCTTTGAATAATCCTGAATTAGAGGGGGGTTTTATATTTACCTTAAAATATTCTAAGATAACCCATTGCAAGGGTATTTGTGAAACACATTTGATGGCCACAAGGTGCAGGACTAGAGATGTATTATTTGCCCGACTTACACACAGCTACATCAAAAAACAGGAGAAAACTCTGTCTATTTAAGCTACATAATTAAGTTGATAGATACCATAAATTGAAAAATGACCAAAATACATTCTCCACATATGTATGAAACATATCCAGGAAACTCAATTATTAAACCAGGGAAGGATTGAGGCAGAAGAGGAAATCCATAATTGAGGATCCACACACACTCATTGTGATGAAGAATTGGGATTCTCTCAAATACTTACTCCCACCAAGGTAGGTGCAAGTAGCAAAGAATTTTTGGAATATTTCATATGGGTTACAATCAAAATTACAACTCATGAAAATATTCTTAGTACTTGCAAACCAATTCATGGAGTTATCAGTCAAGGATGTTCCTAGCAATAAGCAGCTATGAATAAGTGAAAGTTTCATCTTTCCAAAAGCAGGCTGGAGATAGGGCATTAAAAGGGGTTACTACTGGAAGTGAAATCCACATATTCGAAGAGGAGCCACTGTTTATTCATCAGTATTCCACAGCAAAGGAAAATTTTCAAAATTTTTTTGTGAGTGAGTGGGAATGGCGCTTGCACAATCTGATGTCCATATGAAGCTTGTTCCTCTCATCCCTCAATTGAAACTGTCTTATCACTGAAGAACAATGTCAAAAGAGATGGGAAGATCGGATGGTAGAGCATGCCTGTAGATATTTTTACTAGGACTTTTCAGCCACTAAAACACTGGGAGTCTCCAGTTTTCCATCCCCTTTGTCAGATTTTCCAGTTAGTGTCTCTTTGCTGCTTGAGGCACTGGGCTCTTCTTGTCCTTGTATCCGTATGTTATACTTTTGTCGATATTCTTGCAGTTCTTTTCCTTTCTCCTGTAGCAATGCCTTCATGTTTTCACAAGCATTCAGGATCTGTAAAATAAAAAGTAACCACACTCAAGTGCATCATAAAAGAAATCATGAAGTCACCAGATCCAACTTTCAGGATATATAAGAAATTGATCTTCACTTCTATGGTCCACGAGCAGTTGGTGACACTTATAAATTTACTCTTTTTTTTTCAAGATTCACTCAATGCTTCCTAGAATTCATTTGTGATAAGAAGCAAGGAAAAAACAGAAGAAAACATGTACTCATCACAAATCTCTACATGCCAGTATGGGTTTCCCACAGCACTTCTGACTCCAAGCCTGTTCCTTCTGACCAGTGAGCAACTTTTAAGGGGTCATAATCAGGGATGTTACAATAGCAGTTTTCAAAACATTGATGCATCAGGGGGGGGGGGGGGGGGGGGGGGGGTTCCAACTTTTCTTTTTGAATTCACCTTAAGGGGGGGGGGGGGGGGGGGGGGGGGGGGGTGGGGGGGGGGGGGGGGGGGGGGGGGGGGGATGCTGGAGGATTCCAACTTTTCTCTTTGAATTCACCTTAAGTAAAAGGATAAAATGCCCCAGGGCAAGTTAAAAATTGTAAAATGTTAAGCTGTATATTAAAGAGAAAGATGGGAATCTAGAGAGGGAATTAACCAATGTACGTTTTGAAATGAAGGGAGTATAAGAACAGTCCACTTTTGCAGCATGAACCTGATGAGATTGAGCTGAAGACTGAAACAGAAAAAATTAAATTCAGTCTTTCCTCCCTCTCCTTTCCCACTTCCTGTCTCCAATCTGACATGTTTTTTTTTTCCTTCCCATCTTTCATAGTCAGTCCCAGCATTTCCAGAATTAGATTGTGATAAATTGCAAGCAAATGGGGGTCTCACCGCCTCTCCCTTTTCCTGCCCAGGCGGACTGTATTTGCCTCAATCCAATGGAACATTTCCCCTTAAAAATCTTTTGCTAATACATCGTGATGATAGAAAAAACTATCCATACCTCCAACCATTGATAGTGGTATTGATGCATCAATCTATCATGACACCCCTAGTCACAATCCCATAACTTGGCATATCCTGAGGTCTCCTGTTAATTAGTTATTACTCCTTCTGAAGGTTGACTCTTTCAGAGTGGATTTACATGAAAATCAGGTGACTACTGGAGAAACTCTGAATGGAACCCAAAAAATAAAGGAGAGCCATAAGTATGAACTTCATTTCATTCTCCTCATAAAAATAAAGGCCATTCCATACAAATTCAACAAAAATTAATATCATAATGGCTCCTGACCATCTTGGTTCTTGTGATAAAAATTCCCAAGGATTGCAGACAACCTAACAGTCCTGTAAAAAAAAATCACCCCCATCAGATTTGCAGTTAGTGTGATATCAGCCCTTGAACTTTGGGGAGAAACTGAAAAATCATTTGGATGGCAAAATTTCCATCATATGAACCATTCTTTGAATTAAGACATGCAATGGCATGAACTGGAGCTCTTCAATGGCTGAACAATTCCCTTCATATATCCATGGAGTTTGAAAATGTGAAATTTAGGCAATTTTGACCACCCCAAATATTCCTATGTGGTGATGAGAAAGAAGTTTTTTTTTTCTGTGGGTAGCATTCCCACTTCAGGTGCAAGGATGAGGTGACTTGTTCAACTTTCTATCTGCAACAAAGAGAAAAATTCAACTCAAAATTGGTACTTTCTCATTTTCGGTCACCTTTGCTTCAGTATCTTTTATGTGGCAGAGCACTTATGATATCATGGGTAGTGTTATTAGAAAAGTGAGCTTACATTTTTTTCAATGATACATGATTTGTTGCGTCTTTTTTGAAATAATTATTCTTACTTAGTCAAAGCGTTGCATATTCCAAGTATTCATTAGGTCTTCAAGAAGCTGAATACAGGGTGGTCATACTTAAATACAACATAGGGAAATTTTTGCTGCCTGTTTGTGGAGTTCAACGCATGCCCTATATACCTCACTGGGTTGCATATCTGCAAGGATGAAACCTATCACAGGTGTGTTTCCTGACAGATATACAACCCAGTGGGCCTTGTAGTGTTTGCTGGTATCCACCTACAGGCGGATAAATATGCCCTATATTGTGTTTAAATATGAGCACCCTGTATATTCAAGAAATATATCCTTGTGAAGGTCTTTCAGCAAATCACAGTCACTCACCCTAGATACCTTTAAGTCAGGGCTTCCCAACCCAGGGGTTGTGACCCCCTTTGGGGTCGTGAACAGGCCACTAAATGCCAAGTTATATTTTTCTTTGCAATTTTAGCAAATAGGTGGGAGAGCCTGTTGAACTTTGTCCAGTGTTTGGGGTCCTGAATGGTATGATTATGATTTTTGGGGTTGAATGTGAAAAAGGTTGGGAAGTCTTGCCCTAAGTGTTGATTGGAGAGCCATCTGTGCAATCCAAATAAAATCAGCATGCCAAAAAGCTGCTCCAAAATAAGAGGCAAAATCATGAACTCTTACTTGAACTTAAGAGCTCTGAAAATCCTTTCTAGTGATAAATCACAAAACTACATTCAGCCAATTGAAGAAAAAGTGAATTTTTGGAATAAACAACTTTTGATTTAAAAATTTTTCTTTGAAAAAGACACAACAAATCATGTATCGTTGGAAATACCACAAGCTCACCTCTCAAATGCCAATACCCAAGATACTGTAAATGCTCCACCACATTGAAAGGTACTTGACCAGATATTACAGCAACAAAAAAAAATTCCAATTTGGAGGTGAATTTCTCTCTTTGTAGCATACAGAAATACAAATAACTAAACTGCTTTATCCATGCTCCTGAAAGGAGTGCAAACTTACTGTAACAAAAGCTTTGTCTTCTCCATGGTCACAGAGGGATATTTGGTTGTCAAAATTGCCAAAGTTTAACATTTTAAAACTTAGCTATGATACATATCCAATGTGAGTGATTTTTTTAATTGACAGGAATGTTAGATCAACTGCAATTCCTGGAATTTTCATTCAATATCTGAGATGGTGATCAAGTGGAATGCCTGGTTGAGTTAGTATGGAATGACCCATAAACACAAACTACTGGAATATTTGACATCTCAGATGTGATGGAGATGACCTAAGGAGAAGTGCTACTTATGTTGGCATCTGTAGCATTCTAAACTGTTCTGTGAAAGTAACAGAATGACCATACCCTCATATGAAAAGCTAACTCTTCAAATCTGCTGCTGTCAGCAATACCCAGAGACCCATTGCTCTAAGTCCTTGCTTTTCCAAACCAAAAATGGTGCCAGCAAAAAAAGCACATGAAAACATTCTTTGTTCAACAATCTCCAGCAGGAAATAGGTCAATTGGGAATGATAAAACCATAATACAAACACATCAAAATGGCCATTATCAGTGTAAGCACTATAAGCAACAAGAACATTTTTAAGTTAAGGGAAGGCAATGCAAATAGACAGCTGCTTGGCAAATCAATTAATGAAGCATGACACCATAGAAACATAGTAGCACTTACACATGAAAAGGTCTAACAATAGAAAGATAGAGATTGGGGTTAAGTTTTAAATTTTTCAAAAATTATCTTCTGCAGTTTGATTGGTGAGATCAAGCCTTCCTAACAATTGAAAAGTCATAGTAAAATACAATTTTCATTGTTCTAGATGCCATTAGGCCTGTCAAGTTGTCATTAGGCCTATGGATAATAACCAGTACAATACAAGCGATGAGAACTAAGGAGTTGATACCTTCTTTCTAGTTAAGAATATAAGTTAATCATACACATTTATGGCTCTCAACCAGTTAGTAAGCTTGAAAGAAACATATATACCTGCTCCCTGTTGGTCTGAAGGGCAGGGAAAACTTCTTTCACAGTCCTCTCAACAAGAACTCCACCAACTAATCTGAAGCACCTTCTGTTCTCATCAACACCAGCAAGAGTGTCTATCACCAACCTGTAGGGAATAATTAATCAGTCACCACAAATCAACAAAATAGAAATTTCTAACATGCTGGAATCTTTTGACTCAAAACAATCCAAAGCATTAGCTAGCCTAATGTCTCCCCCACTAGGCCTAAGCTGATGCAAGTCATTCAATTCTTAAGCTTACAGATCATGAAATTGTAAATATATCGCATAGTAGTCACAGAAGAGATGAAGAGGTGGTTCCAGCAATATTGAAAAAGTTTACCACCGTTTACCAACTTATTATCATTAGGGAGAATAGAAGCGGGAAGAGCATTACCAGAAAGGTAAATAAATGGGAGCGATAGGGAGGCTGGCAATTCACATGACAAAGTCTGGATGTAACAGGTGTTCAGCAGTCAAAAAATGAGAAACATCACAAAAAATGGGAACAAAGGGATAAACATGAATACCGACATATACTATAATCCCTACGCCATACTACAAACGCCAGGAATGTCCATCCACAAAGAAATATCTTTTACGTTAAGACCAGCCACCAGCTACTGACAGGCCCGATCAGGTGAGGTCCATTTCACGAAGTGGTACACATTAGGTCCGATCACTCCGACTACTTACCTATGTTCAGTGGCATCATTCTCAAGCTCGCTGATTTTATTGATCAGATTTCGCTGCTCCTGACGTAGCCTGTTGAACCCCTCGACAATTTCTTCTGGAGTTTTCCCGGCTTTGGAGCTACTCGTGCCTTTCTTGGGGGCGTTCATCTTGGATCTCCCTGCGCATGGGAAAAGCATACTCGACCGCTTGAACGAGTTTCAGCAAATATAAAAAATTAAGTAAACTTAAAAACATAAATATTAACCCCGCTATGCTCTATGATGCATCGGCAATATTCTCAGTCCAAGGTTTAACTGCGTATGATTTCTCTATGCATGAATGCGGCAGCCCCTAACATACTTCTGTAGACATAGTACAGTGAAACCTGTGTAATACGGCCACAAGGGGGACTTTTTAATTTCGGCTGGTTCTGACAGGTGGCCGGTATAAAAGGGGAATTTTTTTCTGGTTTTTCCTCTAGGCAAACTTAGAGGTACTTGGCAGTCAGTTTTCAAGAAAATTAAACACACTGTATCCACCAAAGGTACCGTAGTCTGATTTTGTTGGATTTTTTTAAATTTTATGTACACCAAGAGAAATTTGAAGACCCTGATTTCATTGACAGGAGGTCTTTAATGTTTGTTTGACGCGCGCTCATTTTGCGTAAGCACACTCGCTCCTGCAGAGACGCTTCGAGCTTCGTGATCACGTCAAGTGACTCCTGCATCCATCCCCTTTCTCTGCCAAATGGCACTTAAGCTTCTCCGCGGCACTCAATGGCCTTAAAGAAAGGTAGTAAGATACACGGAAGAACTAGGTCAACACTCTGATGATCGTTTTTACACTATCGAAACTCCGAAGATGTGACCTTGACAACCAAGCAACGGGTCAATTCGGGGATTAGGGAGGGGGAGCGGAAAGGGAAGCGAGAGGGAGGAAAGGTGGGAGACTATAAGACAGGGAAATGAAGAGGAAGAAAATCTACCTGCAATCTTCCTTCCTGTATTCTGCCCGGATTAAAGAGTGGCCGGCACAGAGAGGGTCTGCAAATCCTCGGCCGTTGGCCGCGTTAGACAAGTGGCCGGATAAAACAGGTTATTTCAACATTGAGCCTATGGAACTAACGATTGGGACTGAGCATTTCTGGCCGCAAATGGGAGGTGGCCGTAATATCAAGGTGGCCGAATCCACAGGTTTCACTGTACTAAACTGCCATCCCTCCCTGTCCGGAATAAGTTTGGTTTGAGTTGGTTTGGTGCTTGCCGATAGGACCAGATTAATATGTTCAGGTACGCTTAAGGGGTCAGGTCAATGGACACAACGAAAATCATAAAAGAAGGAGCAAAAACACTTGTGAAGTTCCATGGACCTCCTATTGCGGGCTCTGTCTCTTCAACATTTCTTCAACTCGATGAATGAAATGTGTCGTACTATTTTGAGTTTTCCGTGGGACAGGGAAGGCAACCGTCTCTCCCTCCCCCCTCCCCCCGGCAGCCTCAGCCCTCGTCCGCACCAGAAAGTTTTCTATGCAATTTTTCGTTGCAAGTCAACTTGCATCGAAACAATATTGTTGCTACATGATGGTTATTGAAACGTCAATACTTTTTCATCGTTCAATGTTGTCTTGCCAGGTTAGAATGTTTCCTCTTAGACAGGGATCGGGAAACTATGGCTCATGAGGCATAGTTTCCGGGTTCAGGAAACTATGACTCATTGAGTCATGGCTGAAAATCATTGTTGTTCCTCATTTTTCTCATGTATCAAAGAATGCGTATGTCTGTTGCTAACTTCAGGGAAAATTATGTTCTGAAAATCTTTCGCTCAAAAGCACTTAGCTCAATGCCAAAAATGTTCCCGACCCCTGCTCTTAGGTAACCTTAGGTGACCCAGGTAACACACTGACGTTCTGACAGCGTTTTATAAAAGCAATAATGTTGTGTGGATGCAGTATGTTGTCACCCTGATGTTTGACAATGTTGTTATGATATATTCGCCTCAGCATTAGAGAAATAACTAATGTCGCAGAAAAAAAAAACATGCTCATACATTCACAAGAAATAATTGTGACGAAGCTGTAACATTTTAGGGGCCTCTGAATACTTTTAAATTACGACAACATTTTGAATGCTGTGGCTACATTGTAGAAAACATTTTTACATTTGAATGTCCTTTTATACGATGCTGTAGCAACATTTTCCTATAACGTTGCGGCAACGAATTCTTTCTGACGCTAACAACGTTATGACAATGTTTGCGAAGTAATACCCTCACCATCTAATAGGTTCATCCAATCCAATCGAGATGGCATCTCAGCGCCGCTATAGCAAATCTTCCTTTCATTTACCGGAAATCATTTCCCTGTATTTTGATTTCGGTGCCTGATCTTTCCCCCACGTAAAAATCAGGGGAAAGTATTGGAATTCCTGGATCGACCCGTTTAAGCGAGTTACACGGCGGAAGGAGACCCCAGGTACTTCTTGCGTTCAGGTCGAAGGGAACATGGCAAAATTTCCTAATTCACTCCATTGCGATGAATGCGTAGAGAGAGAGGAACGAGGGAAGGGGGAGCATGGATGTCGGTACTCGAAATCTGCAACCTCTCTACGCTCTGAGGCTGAACCTAAAGCAGTTTGTGGATCTTCGCTTCCCTGCAGCCAGCATCTCTAATCCAGCCACACCACCGTATGTTGAACTGCCCTACCTTACTGTGAATGTTGAAGAAGAGATGAAAGATGTGCCAACAGCCGAAGGCAGCACTTCGCCACTGTTAATACCTGAGAATGTTAGCTCATGGTGTGGATCTACGTATGCTGCTGATGAATATGAGAACACCACCTATTGTAACTACGTTCCAAGTCGGACCTGTGCTCGAACAAGGGGCACTAGGTGAAAGCTGTGGAGCTGGAACAAGAAGGAATCTTCACATCTACCCTGCGCAAACAAGGAGGAAGTTGAAGTCCATGTAAACATAGAAGATGAGGAGGAAGAAATGGAAACCTTGGCTGAGGGGGAAATACTGCTATTTCCTTCGCTCAAGAATCAACACCATACTGCAAAAAAAGAAGAATGGAGCGTCCAATGGGAAACACAAGAACAGGATCAAGAAGGAAACAACGAGGAGACGTGCTCATCCGAACGGTCGCCCACACCACTCTCAGACAAGACCCTCCAGAGTGGCTAGGTGCGTGAAGGCTTTTTTCACCTGCCGCTAAAGTGACTGCGCTATAAAGGCCGTGACTGGGCATTCTCTTTTGAGCCCTCGCCGAGTTAGCTACGTCTGGTTTTCGCTGTTTCTTGTCTCCGACTGCGCTGCAGACCCGAGGCTATATACAAGATTCTCATTTCTGTTTAGGCCTTTCCTTTCCTTTCTTCGTAGCTTTTCATTCGTTGTGTGGAAGTTCTACTCCACTGCTCTTTTACACATCAGCTTCATCTTTTTAAAGCAAAATAAAAATGGGTAAAAGCAGCAGACAATCCTGCATTGTACCCGCATGTAGAAATACATGGAGAAATTCACGTCATCATGATCCGCCCACCACCTTCCACCTAGTACCACGGGATGATGCAGCCAAGGAGAAATGGTTATCAGCTTGTGACCGAATGGACTTGCAGGATAGGACAAGGAGCTTTGTTTGCTCCAATCACTTTCTTTCTAGTGACTATGAAGGGGGGCAAAGAACAAGCTTCTACAAAAAATCGCCATGACCNTAATATATCCCCAAAGCAAGCCCCCACTTTATCGAAGCGAGCTAAAGGCGAATCATATCCCAGCTGTGACGTCACTACACGCACATTCACGTGCCTCAAGTGACTGCGCTCCCTCCTCGGCCCGCTAGGCGCGTGAGCCACTCGAGCCTATCTGATAGTCTATGTATCTTGGCTCTCAGAGAGCTGTTCACCTGGTCGGTCGCCGAAGCCATGCCCGGAAAGTCCCCCGAATCGGCAGTAAACGTCGCCTCATGCGGCAAAAGAAATAGAAGAGAGGAGGTCCTTTTGGGAGGGAGGACTTCTCCTTCTACCTCTACAGTCGCAGGAGAAGCACATATGCACTCAAAATTCATAAGAAGCTCATCTCAAATGTGAACTGGAGAAAGAGGAAGAAGAAAAGAGGCATCTGGATGAATTCTGCAAATACGCCCCTCTCCCTTCTCTTCTCGCCAAAAACCTTCAGGAAAAAGAAGGGAGCACACCCAAATCAGTCGCCAACCTCACCTCCTACAATTGAATAGTTGCCTCTTGAGAGGGCCTGAAAAATCATGCTGGGGCACCTGATAAGGCCCTTACGGCCAGCTGGGCTCCTTTTGATTTCATATTCCCCTCTTGTTACATTGCATTTTTTTTAACAATAAAAAAGGTATTCATAATTTAAAAAAAGATGAATGTGTCTTATGCTCTGATTTATCTACAGCAGGTAAAGGAGCACGCATCATACTAAAGGGATTGCCTCTTGATTTCTCTGCGAAATAAGGAATCTGGTATGAAATACTTAACTATTTCAGCGTCGCTTCGAGTAAGTACTCGTCATGCGGTCGCTCACTTGCCAGCACACGGTAGGCAGCTGCAAGTTTTAGTAGAAGGTGTGTGAGAATATTCTTAAATACAAATCATACTGCCACAATAACCACTTCTCACTTAATGTCGTCACAATGTTGTTACGCCAGAAGGGATAAGTTGTCACAACAAAATGTGACATGGGAAAAAAAGACATTTAGATGTTGTAATAATGTTTTCGATTACATTGGCACAGCATTCCATATGTTGTAGTACAACATTTCCACAATGTTGTCATATGTGCGTGTTACCTGGGTAGGTATAAAATCCTTTTCTTAGTTATCATTTTCTCTCCTCAAAGAATATTCTTATATTTTGGTGCCTTTACTTCTGTGATGTTAAGTTTACAGGGTGAGAATGTAATTTCTGAACGAGTAGGAGAGTGCGAAGCCAGTTCCCTTTGAACGATTGAAAAGTGTCTTTGAGGACAGCGTTCACAAAGAATGCACAGTCTATAAATGGGTTGAACGTTTCCAAGAGGGACGAGAGAACCTTGACGATGGCCAAATCTCAAGAAGGTCCAGTTCAATCATAACTCCCACTACGTTTCAATGTGCGGACGAAAACGTCCAGCGTGATCGTCTCTGGATGAGTTAGAGCAGGATATTTTAATCTCGACCATCAATAGTTGAAGTTGAGAGCCTTA